CACATCTCAGTAACTGTCAGGCTGGTGGAGAAACCCATTATTCAAACTAATCCTAGATTAGGATCCTCATTAAAAAACTAGGCGACTGTGGCATTGATGCCTACACAGTCAGATGGATTGCAGATTGGCTGAAGGGTCGTACTCAGAGGGTGGTGGTGGACGGGTCATATTCAACCTGGGGGGAAGTGGGCAGTGGAGTCCCCCAGGGCTCGGTCCTGGGACCTGCGCTATTCAATTTCTTCATCAGCGATTTGGACGACGGGGTGAAGTGCAACCTGTTTAAATTCGCTGATGATACCAAAATTTGGGGTGAGGTGAGCACGCTAGTAGGGAGGGAAAGACTGCAGCAAGACCTGGATAGGTTACAGGAGTAGGCTGACATAAACAGGATGCGTTTCAATACTGACAAGTGCAGGGTGCTGCACTTAGGCAGTAGAAACCAGCAGCACACTTATAGAATGGGAAACTCCCTTCTTGAGAGCACGGAGGCAGAAAGGGATCTTGGAGTCATTATTGACTCCAAGATGAACATGGGCCGACAATGCGAGGTCACGGTTGGCAGGGCTAACCGGACCTTGTCGTGCATCCACAGGTGCATCTCGAGTAGAGCCAAAGAGGTGATCCTCCCCCTCTATGCGACACTGGTCAGGCCACAGCTGGAGTACTGCATCCAGTTCTGTGCGCCCCATTTCAGGAGGGATGTGGACAACATTGAAAGGGTCCAGAGGAGGGCCACCCGCATGATCCGGGGACTACAGGGCAGACCCTACATTGAAAGACTGCGGGACCTAAACCTGTTCAGCCTTCACAAGAGAAGGCTGAGGGGGGACCTGGTGACTGTCTATAAACTCACTAGGGGGGACCAGAAGGGTTTAGGGGAGACACTGTTTCCCCTAGCGCCCCCTGGCATGACAAGGAACAATGGACACAAATTATTAGAGAGTAGGTTTAGATTAGACATCCGCAAGAACTACTTCACAGTTAGGGCGGCTAGGAGCTGGAACCAACTTCCAAGGGAAGTGGTGCTGGCTCCTACCCTGGGGGTCTTTAAGAAGAGGCTTGATGACTATCTGGCCGGACTCATTTGAGTCCAGTCTTTTCTCCTGCCCAGGCGGAGGGTCGGACCTGAAGATCTACAAGGTCCCTTCTGACCCTACTTCTATGATTCTATGATTCTATGAAAGGCAGTATATTAGCCCTGAATATTGATACGAAACAAGTGATAGATTGGCTTGTTACTGATTCAGTAACAAATGATTTGGGAAGCAAGAGCATCATATGTAGGGACCTACCCAAATTGCAATTGCGTGGATTTTGTGGAAATTGCAAAATCGGGCAGTCTCTACAAAATCTGCAGAAATAAAATAAAACAAAAACTTACTAAAAATAAAATGCTGGTTCCCAGTGGGAGCTAGCAGTCCTCCTGGCCATGCAGCCCACCCTGGGGAAGGTCAGAGGGAGGCTGCCAGCACACAGGTGAGCAGGCAAGATGACTGCTGCCCTTGCCCTCCCTGCTGATTGGCTGAGAGGGCTGTCTGTTGTGCAGCCCCACCCCTCACCACCAATCAGTGGCAAGGGGTGGGGCCGCATGACAGGCAACCCTCTCAGCTAGTTAGTGGTGAGTAGCGGGGCCATATGACAAACAGCTCTCTCTGCCAATCAGAAGGGGGAGGAGGGGCACTGAGGCCCCTCAGTCAAACAGAGGGGTGTTGGGGGGTGCCCTGATAAGCCCTTGAAAATGGCAGCCAGCTCCACAAAGTCAATCTGTCCATAAAATCAGCCAGCTACTTCCTGGAGTTGAGTAGACCCCTAATCGTATGCAGGGAGAAGGAGTTAAGTGCTCACATGAAGCTCCTTAGTTCATAAACAAATAGCTTCAAAGTAGGGTGCTGCCTTTTACAACCAACAAACAGATCTCGATGGCTCAGAGAAAGGTCTTGGTTTGATGGGACTTCATAACATTTCAAAGTCAGGGGCAAAGGGCTGGGACAGGACTCTTGTATAAACAGTCAGCAGGAAGAGTCCGTCCTTTGCTGTGAGTACGTATGAGTCACTGGAGAAGAAAAGTATCAAGGGAGCTTCTTCCTGGGGTATGTCTGCATTACCATTTATGGCCACCCTCAAAGTTTGTCCTCACAGTCTAAACCAGGGCCTGGGAATTTCAGGGTGGGGGCAAAAGAGGCAGGGCCCCTGACCAAAATCTGGGGTAGGGAGCCCCCTGTGGATGTGTGTTGGTGGCAGCCTGGGGCAAGAGACAACTGTCTGCTCCCATCACCATTACGGCTCATCCAGAGGTGTGCCTAGATGTGACCCATGAGAATACCCACAGTCTGGATTTGGCTGAGGAAGCCAAATCAATTTGACAGCCCTGATCTATACTGAAAACCCGTAAGCTTGATTGCTGGCTGAAGTCCAGCTGACCGTGGAGGCTCTACTAAGTGTAAGGGACTGAGGTCATCCTTTAGCTGATTCTCCCCGTCCCTGCAGTGTGCTGTTAACTGACCCAGATGCTGCAGTCTGCAAGCACAGAGAATCTGCCAGCAGCAATCCCACATCTTTTGCTCCTGAGTTCCAGCCCATTTACACCCCACTTCCTGTCTCTAGTGCCTGCAATTAGGGCCAAGCACAGAAAGAAAGGCAAGAAGGACTCTTAGAAGAGCTCCACCTGAGGAACAGAAAGCGCAATATGCTATGACTGCTAGGCTGGCTTCTTGACTCTGACCAGTTTAAGCAGTTGCATAACTGAGGGGCGGTGCCTGGGACAGTGGCACCAATCACTGCCTTTGCGGGTGGGGATGTGCAAAAATAACAGCCCTTGCAGCAGCTGCTGGATGCACCACCACAATCAGCCACCTGGCAGCCAGTGATGCATCGTGCACTGTGGCTGCCCAGGGTGCAGAGCTGCCCTACTATGCCTCTGGGTTTGAGGGACACCCTGAAGATCACCCATAACTATCAGTGTAGACATTGAAATAAAACAGGAGTGCCTGGCTTAAGCTTCTAAACATTAGAAGCCTATGTACAGTTTTGGTATTACCGGTCTTGGGTCCCCCAGAACATACGTACATTTTGTAAACAAAGAGACTGAGCTAAAAACACCTTGACTTAATAATTTCTAATCCAGATGGAAACCCATTCTGTGAAGCTGCACATTCAGGCTATTACTCTGCCAAAGTATAATATTATCTTTACTGCTACTGCTACAATAGAAGATTCATTATTTTTCATTTTGAAACTGTGGGACACTATCCGCCTTCCCTTTCTGTATTTCACCTTTTTAACTCTATAAAAATGGGAAAAACGTGTGTGTGTGTGTATATATATATATATATTAAGTAGAATACCTCATCCTTTTAAGTGTTGTGTTACTCCTTGCTATTAAAAGTAACCTTTTGACTCTTACATTTACTTCTACTTTTAAAACATGTATACTATATTTTAGCTTTACATTTTCTTAGAAAAAGGAGGTAATTTGGACTTTAAACTACTTTCAAAGCTTAGCAGAGTTAAATTTCAGGCAGAAACTAGCACTTTCACTATTAAAAATAAAAGCCCTATTTAGTGATAAAGTAAAACTCTGAATTTGCAGTAAAAAACCCACTATTTAAGAAGGAGAGGGGTTTTCATTTTTACAATTTTTAAATGAGTGAGAACATGGGGGAAAATAGAAGTATTCATATTTTAATATATTTTTATGTTTGCTCTGATAGGAAAATTTTCAATCAAGGTTTTTTTTAATGAATATTCTTACAGGAAAATGTTCCTTTTTCCAGCCAGTCCTACTCAAAATAGTGCTATAGGAGAGAATCAAAGCAATAAATCCTTGATATTTTCCCATGCTTTGGCAGCTTTTGAGTACAGGCAATCCTCGGACTTACAACACAATTGGTTCCTGAAAACTGCATCTTAAGTCAAAACGTTGTAACTTGAAAACAATTTTCCCATAGGAAACAATGTTATAAACGGGGGATTGGTTCCTGAACCAAGGCCCAATGACCTATTTTCACCAAAATAACCCAGAATTTTGTACTCAATTAATTATAGTTGAATAATATAGCTACATTAGTGTATTTATATTGTAAATAGCAATTATATTGATTTGGAAGGACTTTTTTAGGTGACTTTGCTGGACGTTTTGAAAGGCTCTTGGTTGGACTATTTGAAGGGTTCTTGGCTGGAGTCTTCTCAGGAGTCTTGCCTGCAGGTTTTTCTGGAGTCTTGTCTGCTTTCTTAAAGAAAGTGTCCAAGGAAGTTTGGATAGAAGTTCTCCAGGGAGACGGGCAATGCGGTGAACTTGTTTGCTGGCGTGGCATGGCATCTATTTTATTTCTCTTTCACTGTTTTCTCCTGCACAAGACAACATCTTGGCCCACATTGTACCATCACAGGGTGCAGCACAAGTAGACAAAGGACAAAGTTCTATTAACTAAAATGCAATGCTAATCCTGTTATCTTCCTTTCCCTCCCATCTGAAAGTTCAATGTTTTAAGTAGATGTTATCCTAAATACACATAACTGCTAATAGACCATGACTGTATAGGGTCAATTTCCTCCATACATCCAGATGATGACCGTGCTTCTAGTGCTGAAAGTACCATGCTGCTCTGTGGTAAACACAGTCTATTGCAGACTTGTTCTTATAGAGGTAGTGAAACCAAGTCAGTCATTAAAAAGGACAGTCTTGGCCCCTGGACAAAAGGTGTAATCCTTCCTCTCTCAACCCTTTGTCAAGCAATCTAAACAGCAATACTGACAGGTCACTTTCTTCCGTAGCTGCACTGACACTCAAGAAGGGTCCAGATGAGTAGATAAAACTATATAGGTGGACATGTTTACAAACACATACAAAGAAAGTACTGTACCCCAAACGTGCTGTACCAGCATCTCCCCTCCCACCACATTTTTTCTTGGTGTTACCCCAATTAGCTTGTAAAGCATGACAACCTTCTGTGAGATTCTGCATGTTTCAATTCTCCCTTGTTCTTGTCCTTTTCGTACAGTCGACCTCAAAGACAGAGACGGGAAGCACATGGAGAAACACACAAGCAAGGCAGGTATGCTACTAAAGATACAGCATCCCAGTGGCCACTACCCCTCACTAGCTCTTTTTATTATTGCGTGTCAGCAGCAGTACCGTTATGCCTTAGGCACCATTTAGAAGGGGCAGAATTTGAATAAGCAAATTAACTGTGGAAGCCTCAAGCTTCAGTCGTGGTTTGGAGCTGGGCATCACAACCTGTTCTCTGTTTCCCACGGCATTAATACGCGACTTTGCCCAGAGACCTGTGCAGAGAAGTGACTCTCTCCCTTCCAGAAAGTGGGGGGAGAGGGGGGAAACTCCGGTGTTAACCCTTTCACAGATGGTCTCCAGTTGGCACCAGTTTTAGGCAAGTTTTATCTGATAAGAAGAATGTGGGGGCTATGTAGTACTGCGGTGGGTATCCTCTGCTTCCGCGCCAGGAGGGAGAAGCTGGCAGCCATCTTGTAGCACAGTGTCTATGAAAAAGCCATCTCTAGACCATGACTCTGGAAAAAATCTTTTTTTCTACATTCCGCCTTCCAAAAACAAGGTGTGTGTCTTATATTGGGGGTGAGGGGGGAAACACTGTATGTAGCCTTTGGAATGGCTGATTTGGTGACATGGTGGTTTCTCCATCACTGGTAACCAAGAATGAAGTCTCTTTAGAAGACATGATCTAGCTCAACCACAAGTTAGGTAAAATTCTATAGCCTGGGCTGTGCACTAGGTGTTACAGAGAGGTGGATAATCACAGCAGTCCTTTTTTGTCTGTAAGACGTCTTGCCATCCCTTATGCAAGCTCCTATGAAAATTAGAAAACCCTTTCCTGTAGTCTCGTGGGAGACTGTTGCTGTCCAGCTCCCAGAATACCTTGTGTGTGTGACTTGTTTGCTCTTTATTGAAAAATTTGTCTTTTTGTTCTGAGTCATTAAAAATATATGACTGAGATCAGTGCCAAGTAGCACCAGCATCATATAATAGATGCATTGTAATGATGTCGAAGCAGGAAAGGGAGTACTGTCAAGAAGGACCTGTGTAGAAGTTGACAGAACCAAATGCCTCCCAGAGAAACTGAGCGAGTTTGGGAAACAAACTGGATCCCCAGATGTCATCTAGAAATCTAACAAATTACCGACATTCACCTGTGGGCCCTGGGCCTGTGCTCTCCAGTGTTGTGGCACAGAGTAGCTGTGGTTTGCATTAAGCAGGTTTTGAATGGAATAGACAGTATCTGGGTCACTTGTAATCTTCTACCTCAGCCTAACCTATACAAAGGTTGCAATCTTTCTGTAACAGAAGTACTGTACTATGTCAGTCGTAGCCACTCATACAGCTGTTGCCATTGCTATGTCAGAAAATGCCATTTGCTCCCCTCTCTTCAGTTCTGTCCCTCTGATAGTGAATGCAATCTCCTTAGCATGGGTATTAAGCAGAGCCAAATTTAGATACTCACAAATCTCAGGGCTGCTCAGTGCAAGCTATTACATCTGAAAGTCAATAGACACAACTGACTCTTAGTGGTCTGTTAAAAGTCAATTACTTATAGCACTCACAAAACATACAAAACCCTCACGCTCAAAACATGGAAGGCAAAAGCTTCTGTTGCTTTCTCAGCAATTGTAGACTGCGAGGGTGAATCAAATGGGGAAGGGAAGTGTCAAGATCCTGTTTTTTAATTCTAAGAATAGGAAGGAAGAAAGAATTAATATATTGGATGGACTGAAATGCTTTAATCCAAAATAGTTTTGGTTAAAAGCCTGTTTTTGTATGAACCTAATATTTTTCACAAAACAATACTTTTTGTTGGAAAGCTTTTGATATTTCTTAGGGGAGGGAATAAAAAGAAGAGAATGGAAAATGTATTATTTAACAGAGAAACAGTTTTTTTCATTTGTTTTGAAAAACCAAAGAAATTTTGATTTGGGGATTTAATTGGGGGGAAGGGTGTGACCTTCCCTCCTACTTCACATTTCCTTTCCTTTCCCATCTGAGCAGGGAAGAAAGAAGCAATGGGGAAGGTAAGGGTGGTAAGAGGGACAAGAAACAAAACCATATTCTTTCATTTTTCAAAAGTAAACATCTTCTTCTCATGTCTTGTCACCCTGTTCAAATTCAAGTCCAAAAGTGGGCTCATACTATTGTTCAATCTGTAGCCTTAATGAGGTCTTCACTGGTTCATAGTTTCCCCATACTTGGGTAAGCTAATGGTTTCTTCCACATTTACATATGCACATGGCATTTGTGTCGTTACAGTATCCCCACACTGCACGTCAACTTTAGTCTTACTGACCCGTGTTTGGAGGCTGTTCAAGCTTCCTTGTGTTGGTCAACACAGCTGTGTGCCTACAGGGAGATGTTTGGCAGTTTTGATATTCATGCTAAATCCCTCCTGGGTCATCTCTAATCATGACTGTCATATTTTTATTCATGTGGCTGTCAGAGTTACATCAAGTGGCTGTATTGTAGATAGGAAACTTTTCTGTGATTTTAGTCTATGCAGTGTGGCTGTGAAGTTGGTGCCTCTTGTCTTCGACCTACCCCAAGACCCACAGCAGGAGCATTCACGTTACAGTCCCTGTCAGATTCCTTGAATCTGTGAATTCAGCTACAAACCTAATATGAAAATTGTTGGCTTGGCTATTTTGTTTAAATCTGAATAAAGTCTTCATTTTTTTCCACATTTTTATACAAAATAAGCCAAACAATTAAATACAACATTTTTTTCCTTCCATCTTTTTCTCAAAAATTGTTCTATTGGTTCCACATTCACATCAGCAAAAATCTCCACAAGTGGGCACTCATTTGATGTACCTTAGTATTCGGAAGACCAATAATTCAGGCATATAGAGACAATAGCTGTTTTTGAAAACATGTTTTCAAATGCAGTTCCTGTACCCTGAGACAGGGAACACAATACAGGACGTGAGTAGTAATAGAAGTCAGAAAATTGCTGACTAGAAAATAGTCATACTATTTTGTGAACAAAGATATTTTTGCTCCTATTCAGAATTTTAAAAAACCACTTATCTTCTTCTTTCATGCAAAACTGACATCTCAGACTAGAAGAGCTGGGACTTGAACCTGAGTCTTTCACATCTCTGCTGAGTGCCATAACTATGGGCTGTTGGCTATTTTTGTGGCTGATAAATGAATCCTCCCCCACTTACCTGGCTCTCTCTAATATTTTAATCAAAACCTATGCATTCCACAAAATATTTCAGCTTCAGTGACATAACATTTTTATACTAGTTCTGTTAAATTATCTTGACCAGCTCTAGCTAGTAGCCTTGCAGGGCAACAAAAATCAGCCCTTCACCTTTCCCTCTCCCTTCCCCGACTGTTATTTCTTTTAGGTTTTTATTCTAGTATTTCAGGTATGTTTTTGAATGGAAGCTGGCACAGCACATTGACTTCAGTAGAGCCATGACAGTTATACCCCTTGATTTTACCTTCACATTTTTGGCTTTTTCTTCTTCAAATAAAATAGCAATACCTTTGTCCCCTGTGCATCCAAAACACTGCTATATGTCTACACTCTTGCCATTCCAGCTTTGCAACTCAGCTCTCAAGAGCTCCTGTTCACACCAAGCACTGATCTGGTAGTATCACCCCACTGCCCTCAAGGAGTGATGCGCTGTTAAATGTGAACGGGGATGGATGAAGATCCAAGGCCATGTAGAACCTTTTATATCTGCCAACCTGCTCAAGTTCCTTTTAACTCCTATGTGCAAATGAGTCTGTCAGGTCTGTTAGTAATCCATAATCTCAATTCGTGTAACATCTTCCTTTTGGAAATAATAAAGTAAGTTTCAAATATTACTTTTTACAGCCACAGAAATGAACTTTCCTTAGGAGGTCTGCCATCTAGTTCCAAACCTACACAGTTTTTTAGACATTGTTGAAACTTTAGGGCACTGCAATAATGTAGTACTGTAGACACACACACAGACATACACACTGTCTAAAAACAGTCCTTGCCCCGCAAAGTTCAGCGCCTATACGTAAAGATGAAACAATAATAGATGTATAAAACAAATACGTGGGAGGACAAGCAGAAATCAGATCCCAGACTGAGGCCATGTATAGACATTCAGTTTTTCTTGGGACTGTTGCTGCACTCCTAGTAGAAACCACAGTATAGAGATGTTCAGGATTTTTCTCCCAAAGCAAAAATGGCTGTTCCAGGAAAAAAATAACTCAGGACTAACTGGGGTTAAATCATTCTCAGAAGAGTTTCTCCTAGAAAAACAAATGGTTGCACACATTCCCCTTGGAGAGAAACCACAGTAGAGTCTTCCAGCATCCCAAGCTGCTTTGTTCCTGCCTCCATCCCTGCCCCCTTTGCTTCCTATGGAGACAGTTTTGCTCAGTCTGGACTCTACTGTTTTAGCTGAGCTGGGAGCAGAACAAGCTCCCTTCACAATCCCTACATAATGGTGCAGGGAGACAGGCTGATCCTGAGCAGCCTGGGTCCAGCAGTCAGGGCTGCCCTGTGCACTGCTGTCATCTGTCTCCAGGGAGCCTGCAGAGCATACTGAAATGTGTGCACAAGGGTCACCTGGCTGCACAGTACCAGCACTGCAAGCTCTCTGTTCTTCAGGGGCTTAGGATTCAAATGTCTGTTCAAAGATATCAGGGTCAGTTTTTCTACCAGGAAAACAAACCTGGGAGTTTTCTCCCAGATCATTTGAATGTGTACACTCAATCTGAGATAAAACAATTCAAAATACAAAGCACATCCTTCCTTACCATTTTGAAATATTTGAGGATCTTTGAAAGTTTAAAAGTATCTTGGTAAAAACAATCACAACCTAGTCATATTTGCTACATGTACACAGATATCTGTCCCAGTTAGTAATATGTAAACTATTTGGCACTTTATAAGACCAATTATTTCAAAGCAAAAAAACAGTTATGTGCCAAATTGATTGAGAAGGAAAAAATAAACATAAAAATATGAATAGCAATTGACAACTGTTTAAGAAAATTTTATCATCTGCCCCAAAACACCCCAAATCCTACCATCATTAAAGGTATTATCAGTTTAAAAAAGTCTTGGTTAAGAAAGGAAGTGAAATAAAAAGTCCTTACTATATTGTCAGATGAAACTGTTTACTACTGAGATTACAAATTTAGTTGACAAAAGTAACTGTGTTGACATAACAGATTTCTGTGAGGCCTTTGTCTTAGGCTTACATGATACTGCAATTAAAATTAGCATAATACAATATCAGTGTGGCCCTTAACAGATGGATTAGAAATGATTAACTGATAGATCTCAAAAGGTGGGTGAAGGAGAAATATTCACTCAAAGAGCAGGGGAGCTGGGCCCAATGATCTCACGAGGTCCCTTCCAGCCCCAAACTTTTGTGAATCTGTGTCAATGGGAGTTTATACAGGGACTACAGAAAGAAAACATAAAATAGTTGTTAGTAAAGTTTACAGGTGGCACAAAAATTATTAGACTGGTATACAATGATAAGAACTGGTCAATGTTAGAGTGCTTGGACTGTATGGGCATCTGGGTTCACTTGAACATCTTGTAATATAGGTAAATGCAAAGTCATACATCAAAAATAAATAATGTTCATCATACAGGGTAGGGGGATGAATTTTGAAATGAGTGACTCCTGGGGCTCCTGGTGCAAAAGTCATGGAATCCAAGCTTGCAATGTGACATGCAGGCTAGGAAAGCAAGACTATCCAATCCTTACTTATATAAAGATAATATCAAGTCAAAATAAGGAAAGGTCATTACCACTGCTTATAACATTACAGCTCCTATACACATTCAGGGAGCCTGCTCCAATGTGCGGTAATTCCAGCGCGTTGAATCAGACTCAATTAATTGAGTCTGCTGGAGCGTGGAAATTATTGTGCTCCAGGAGCCTCCAGCATCATGTGTATCAGCGTCCCTGCACTGAAAAATAGCAGGGCAGGGAGCACTTTAAGGCTTGTTCAGTGAACTTTAGTTCAAAGTGCCCAGCACCATTTTTCAGTGTAGGAATGCTGATACCCGTAACACACTGGGTGATTTTAATTAGCGCAGATCTTGGAGCTGAGCTCATTAAAGCACCCCTCCCACCCCTCCGAGAGCATGTGTATAAACGCCCTTAGAGACAATTACTGAAATACTGTATCTAGACTTGCTGGCCACTCTTTAGAAGGAATGTTGACAAACAAGGGGGCGTTCAGAAAAGAGCCACAGGAATGAATCAAGGTATGGAAAACCTGGCTTACATACACAGACTAAAGAATTGTTTATACTACACTGGTGATGTGTCTTGGGACCAGATGGCCTGAGCACACCCAAGTCTGTAATTATGGTCCAGACCTCAAATCTGCTGGTGAGGCTGCTCTAGTCTCATCCTCAGGGCTTGTTCTTGAGGCCTTAGTCTCCACTACACATAAGAGCAAGCACAGAGGATGTGCTCAAGCAACCTTGTTGACAAACACTGTTGCTGTACATACAAGTCATAAAAAGCTCAATCTATTTACCTGAACAAAGAGAAGCATAAGGGGCTATTTGATCCTGGTCTATAAATACGTCCAGGGGAGAACTTTTTAATATAGCAGGAAAAGAAGCATAATAAGGTCCAATGGTTGGAAGCTGGAACAAGCTGAAACCAGAAATAAGGTGTACATTTTTAAGAAATGAAGGTAATGAAACACTGGAACAACTTATCTAGTGACACAGTAGATTATCCATCAGTTGAAATCTTTAAATCAAGGTGGGATATCTTTCCAAAATATGCTACAGATCAGTGAGGAATTATGGACTGATATAGGAGTCACTGGTGAAAGTTCATGTTCGGATACATCATCATAGTCTCTTTTGGCTTTAATGTCTGAACCTACGAGCCTCCAACATGATAAAGCAATCTCTTGAGATTTGCCCAGCATTCACTTAGGATGTCTTTCTCCTTTATAGTCTGAAAACATGGTTGTGTGAAACATTTTTGTTTACTTGTTTGGTCTCCTGCTGACCCACCTTTAAATTAATCATGAGAGATGGTGTCTGAGTGTAAGCTAATGGCACTATCTTTGGGTCAGAAACAGAAAGTTTCTCTCTTTGAAGAGTCCCTCAAGCAATTTCACTTTCTAATACTGCCTTTCCTATTTATCACCACCTGATCTCTGCATCCTATTTTTAGTCCCAGATAAGTATAATTACATCAGCACTGCAATAAAAGTGATACTGCAATGAAACCAGAGTTCCAAGGCTGAAGAGTGCAATCTGCATTACTTCATTTTCAGAGGTAAATTTGGAAAATGCCCAAGCACTGGATCCACTCTACAAGATCCCATGAAATTGTGCAGGCTCCAAATAGTCATGTAGGCTTCTGGAATGACCACTTCTAGGCCATTTACTGTACAATTTCTGGTGCTTCTTTTTCTTCTTGTTAGAAATCTGGAGCAGGAATTAATCATTTTGTTCCAAGCTCAGGTTAGTTTGCCTCCTGGCTTGGTTCCCAGCCCATCTCCATTTTGTTCCTGGGTTGCAGCCAATGGCTTTTATTGGAGATATTGTTTCCCTAATTCCTGTTCCCATGTCCTGTCATAAGACTACATCAGAAATGTTTTACTCAACCCCCAGCACTTAATACACTAGAAACGAATAAAGAAGAAAACTCACAAATTTCAGTTTTTGTATTCAGACTATATTATAAATATTTTACCTGAGTTTATATAGAGACAAGAGAATTTAAAATGGTAAAGGAGGGGAGTTACCAGCCATAGCAGGGGGTCGGACTAGATGATCTGCTCAGGTCCCTTCCGACCCTAGAAACTATGAAACTATGAAAATAGCTGTCTAAGTATGGCAAATCCTTGAGTTATTTTTCATGTCCATTCTATCAGACATCAAATATGATCACAAGGATATGGTAAATAAAAAAGACGACTCCATTGTACAGATTTAAACTATTTTTCATATCTCGTATACAATTATTAAAATTAATAACCGTGTTTATCTTTTCCATATAGCCCCATACTAAAACGAAGCCCTGACATCACCAAAACTCCACTGACAAAGTCAGAACAACTTCTGAGAATAGACGACCATGATTTCAGCATGAGACCAGGTTTCGGAGGTATGAAAAATACGGTAGTTGACATGCTCTTTTCTATGACACCATACAGAATAGCGCCAAGACTGTGTGCATTGAAAAGATAGGGTCTTTCCCAGACAACAGCCCTTTCCAATCTCTAATAGTTGTTTTTCTGCCTTGTAAATACAAGACAGATATTTACAAGCATGAGGGAACTTGCAACAAGAGCAGTCCAAAAGTTTCAACAAAAATATGAGAACACAGATCAAGGAATCATCTGCAAATGTTTAATATTCATGGTATCAGTTTAAACTTCCACTGACAAAATACAGATTCGGTCTTCATTCATTTCTAGATGGCAACAAAATCCGTGGGCCTTAATTCACTGTGCCAGTGTTTGTCTACGATCAACTAATGTACCATATTTGCTGACCTGGTCCTTTAGTTTATAAGAAAAAAAGAGTGTACTTAGATTGCTTCATACTAATATTTTGCTCATGGGTTTTTGACTATATGCTATAGCAATCCAAGCTTTTAGAGCAAAGGATTAGGGAGAACGTGCTTTCTTATGACCCACTGGATTAATGAATGTAGTAATTTATTGCCCTTTTCTGGCTGACAGATGGTCATTCAAATCCAGGATACCATTAGACACCCTGATAAGAGAAGATTTTATTACTAAAATCTCAATATACACAATGCCAGTATGTTCAATTAATTTAAAATGGCTTCAGTTACAGGACAGTCCATTAATATAAGCATTAATTATTATGTGACAGGCTAGCTGGCAGTGACCTAGCCCAGGGGTTTTGAAAGGGCAAAAGATGATTGGAGGACTTGGGATTCCCTTTCCTCATCAATCTGGTAGTGATTTGGCCCAGGGGTTTTGAAGGGGTAAAAGATGATTGGAGAATTTGGGATTCCCTTTCTTCACTAATCAGGCCCCAGAGACTCACTCCCCCAGTGTCCTGATTGGCCCCTTGGGTCACCTGGAGGGGGATAAAAGGGGCAGTGTGGGCTGACTCAGGGGAGAGACTGGTGAGGGACAACAAGGAAGGAGCTTCACAGAGCTGAGCTAGTGGGGCAAGAGCAGCGCCCTTGAAGAGCCTGAAAGAGTAGGACCTGCAGGCAGCAGTGGGACCCTCAGCAGCAGCAGCAGCTGGTAGGAGAGGCTCCCCACTGGGCTCCAGGATCCCTGAGGAGAGGCTGCAGCCAGCAGGAGAGGCTCCCTTGCTCCAGGAAGGATCTGAACAACGACCTGAGAGGTTCCCAGCTCTGCTTCCAGCTCCTCAATTCAGAGGCCAGGCAGCTTGACGTGAGGCCGGGGCTCTGCAAAGGTCAAGACCCCTAGCAGTCTGGAGTAGTGCTACCAGTGGTGGCTGTGTGGCAGCATTCCTGCCTACCACCTCAGAGATTTAGGTTCAAGTCCCAGCTGAGGTGACTTGGGGTAAGTGAGACAACAAGAAGCAAATCTTGAAGTAGAAAGGGGCTATTGTGTTCCCCCCTCCAGGTACTAAGGCTCTATATTTCCTTGTCATTTTGCATTTTGTGCCTTTTTATATTTCACCAACCCGTATTGTTTGTTCTGCTGTTTGTGTTTTATATTTTTATTAACCCTGTTTTTTGTCAGTGATTGTAAGTGTCTAACCTTTGTTGAATCCTGCCCCCTTGGGGCATTGTAGTGTCCACTGTACCCTCTGATTTATGCCTGTTATGTTCCCAGTATTAAAAGGTATATGGTTAAGTCCCCATTGGTGGTCTGGCTCTGCTCTATAGGGGGAGGAGAGTCCCTACACCTCCCACACCTGCTTTGATCCCTTCAACTGGAGAGGGGGTACCTCTTGGAGTACCGCCCAGGTTACATTTTGGGGGCTCGTCCAGGATTCCTGTGTAGCAGGTGCTAGAATATTATTCAAGCGCTGTGTACCCCTGTAAAAAGAGAGAGAGAGCCACCAGGAGACATGTCCAATGCCAGCCAGTCTGCTGTACCTTCTGGGAGTGATGGGACTGTGCAGGGGGGAGCGGGGCAAACTGCTGGTACTGAAGCTACCCTGGAACGGGTGGGGGTTTTCCAGCAGATTCTGCGGGAGGTGACCTGTTCCTCCAGTGACCAGGCAGCCTATAAGAGACTCTGGAGTTTCTCGGGAACCCTGCCAGTCCCTGCAGGGGAGGAAGGATTTGACTCTTGGCTCTCCCATATTCAAGAGACTTTACTGACTTGGCAAATACCTGATGAGGATAAGCGACACTGTCTGCTGGAGGTCCTGAGGGAGCCTACCTTTGGGGTTGTGAGGACTGCCAAACTCTGGAACTCTGCTATCACCACGCAGCAATGCGTGCAGGTCCTTCAGGATGCTTTTGGCCAACCCACAGGGAGTGGAGGGGCATGCTACATATTGCTGGGAACTTTCCAGCGCAAGGGCGCTTTCAGCATATGTCCTTCACTTAGAGCCCGTGCTACAACACCTGGTGACCCAAGGAGCACTTAGTGTCACTGACGCCAATCAGATACGGCTCTGGCAAATTTGTATTGGGGCACGGTATAGCTCGGCCTTACTCCGGAACCTCAATTTAGCAGGGAACAGGAGCAGCACACCTGACTTCAGTCACCTCTTCCGAGAGATTCGTGAAGAGGAAGAGGTATCCAGACTCCAAGAGACTATGTGGGTCCCAGAGGATGTTTCCCCCTGGAGAGGACCCATGGGTCGGGTGCTAACGGTGGCTCCCCATGAGGACACCTTGTTCTGAGTGGAGGAGGATCCTATGGCTCCAGCACTAGCAGCTGCCGTGTCCAGAACCCCCCAGGGGTTAGCCCTTGCCTCGTCCTCGTGCCTCTGAAGGACCTCGGCCCTATACCTGCTCTAGGGCCCCGGGGTTCTGCTATAGATGTGGGGAGCCAGGGCACATGGCTCGGGAGTTCACCCAGCCTGAGAACCCTGAATTGGTATTTAAAAAGTTAAAAGGGCACTGGGCAGCGGGAAACGGGGAAGGGCAGAGCAATGGAGTTGGCTCTGCTCCAGACCCAGACAGACGCCCGCACATTACCCTCAGTAAATTCACTGCCAAAGGGGCTAGTGGGACCCCGTGCAAAGGTTCCCATGATGGTGAGTGGTTGCCTGTGCTGGGCCATTCTGGACAGCGGGTCCCAGGTTACCATCCTATTTGAATCCTTCTATAAGGAACATCTGAGACACCTGCCTTTGCTTCCCCTGACGGGGTTGGAACTTTGTGGCTTAAGCCAGGAACAGTATTCTTACAGAAGTTATGTGCACGTGAGTCTAAAATTTCCTGCTGAAATAGCTGGGGTGGAGGAAGAAGTGTCATAGTTTCATAGTTTCTAGGGTAGGAAGG